AGATCAGTTCCAGAAACGGATAACTTTTTGATTAAATATTTTTTGCAAAGGAACTCGGCTCTGTTGCGAAGAAGCCATATTTTTGATTCTCCCAACAGGATATTGGTAGGGGTGCTAATTCTATAGCCTAGGGCAATGCGTAAGGCAGCAAATTGAATTCTTTCTATTCTCAGAAGACGAGAGTCTGATCTAGGAAAGTAAATAAAACAGTTGTATTCAACAATGGGGCGAATAAGACTTTTATATAGGGTGACCAGGGTGGTCGGGTCAGCTCCCCATCTGATACCAGAAACAAATTTGAGAATACTAAGTCTTTGAAGGCATTTGTCACGAATAAACTCAATATGATCTTTAAAATGGAATTGATAATCAAAAATGATTCCAAGAAATTTGACGTTTGAACTAGACTTAATTTTATAGTTTTCGACATTGATAGAACAGGAACCGGGGAGAATGCCTTTTTTGTTGAAGTGTATCAATATGGTTTTCTCCGGGCATAAGGATAGACCCAGGCGATTCAGATTACTACTTAAACAAGTGATTGCCTTTTCAATAGATTTTTTGGCTATTCGAGGAATAGCAGCACGAGTAAAAACAACTATGTCGTCTGCAAATTGTGAAATGCAGACATTACTATCCAGACCAACAGTAATATCTTTAACATACAGGGTGTTTGGCCACCTCTAGCAAAAATTTTAATGAGCGATAGTAGAGGCCAAAATAAGACGAAAATCAAGAATACTAATTTGTTGATGGAAGCTTCGTTAAAAAGTTATTAACAATTAAATTCAAAAATTTCATATCGTTCTGGAAAAATTATTTTCGGTTGCGGGAGTCAACTACAATCATTTTTGGTGAGTACACATACCTCCGAAATCCTATCTACTTTCGAGAAAAAAAATCGAGTAGGTGCTGAAATTTTTCGGCGAAAAAAAATTTTTCAAATCGTTCTAAAAAAATTATTTTCGGTCGCGGGGATCAATTACAATCATTTTTTATCATTACACATACCTCCGAAATTGTACGCACTTTCGAGAAAAAAATTCCTTACTGAAAATCCAATTAGGTGCCGAAATTTTTCAACGGAGAAAAAAAATTGCAAATCGTTGTGGAAAAATTATTTTCGGTTGCGGGGGTCAATTACAATCAGTTTTTGTCATTAGACATACCCACGAAATCCTGCCCACTTTCGAGAAAAAAAATAGAGAAGGTGTGAAATTATTCGAGAAAATTAAAAAATTGCAAATCGTTGTGGAAAAATTATTTTCGGTTGTAGGGTTCAATTACAGTCATTTTTGGTGAATAGACATACCCCCGAAATCTTGCGCATTTTCGAGAAAAAAATTCAGTAAGGGCGGCACTTTAAACGTTAATAACTTTTTAACGAAGCTTCCATCAACAAATTGGTATTCTTGATTTTCGTCTTATTTTGGCCTCTACTATCGCTCATTAAAATTTTTGCTAGAGGTGGCCGAACACCCTGTATATCAAGTATAGTAGCGGGCTGAGAACTCCACCCTGAGGAACTCCCTTAAAAACCTTTCTGCTGAGGGAGCGGTTGGAGTGTACAACAAAGGTAATGTTGCGATCATGTGTCAGGAAATTGACGAATTTAACAATGCTTATAGGACATCCAATATTGATAAGTTTTGTAACAAGGATATCACTTAGGACATTGTCAAAAGCCCCTTTCACATCAAGAAAACAGGAGAGGACATCCTCGTTCAAATGAAAAGCCTCTTCGATTGAAAGAGTAAGTCGAGCGAGGTTGTCAGAGCAGGATCTCCCAGATCTAAACCCGGCTTGTGACGAAGGGAAGAAATCTATTGTTTCTAACCAATGCTGCAGTCTTAACTTAACCATTTTCTCCAAAATCTTACAAAGACACGAGGTGAGCGAAATGGGTCTAACATTTTCACTACCTTTTTTATCAATGAAGAAAGTGAGACTGTTTTGCCAGGACGGGGGGGAATTCAGAGTTCACATAGATTTCGTTTAGACTGTCAATAAAAATAAGCTTTAACTTGAAGGGAAGATTAGTAACAAGGCAATACTCTATATTGTCAGGACTAGGAGAGGCTTTAGGACTGCAGCTGCTGAGGGCAGCGTTAAATTCTTGTAAGCTGAATGCGGAGCTGAGGAAATGGTTCATACAGATGTTGGGATTGGAGTTAAGGACGTTGGGGTTAGAGGGAACCCAGCATGGACTGACCTTCTCGATCGCTTCTTCGATCTTGAGAACACGATCGGGAGGACTAAGTTTACTAGAACGAATGTTAGCCCATTTATTCTTAAGTAACTTACACTTATCCCAAACGTAGGAAATATCCGAGTCAAAGTTGATACTTTGAGCAAAGTTGCGAAAGTCCTCTGTTTTCCTTCTTCTTATATATCTCCTAGCAGATGCTTTACATTTTTTATAATCGATAAAGTCAGAAAGCTGGTGAGTAACATGCCATTTTTTAAGAGCCGCCTTTCTTAAACGTATAAGTTTTTCACATTCGTTGTTCCACCAAGAGACAGGATTCCTATGTTGCCCAAAATATGTAAGTTTTTTACTAGGGGTGCACTTTTTAACTGCGTCAGTTATAGTGTTACAGAACAAAGCATATTTATCACAAGAGTTAAGGGCTAGAAAATCAGAATGGAGGAAGTCCTCAAATTTCTCAGATAAAATAGATCGATACAAGGACCAGTTGGTTTTTTTTGAAGACAGACGAAGGGAATTTTTAATAAATATCGCTCTATCGACTGATAGTTTAACGTAAAGAGGGTAATGGTCAGAGCTCCAAGTGTCTTCAGGAATTGAGAGATTAACGTTATCAAAAATGTCTGGAGAGGAAAGAAGCAAATCAAGATTGGACAGCTTTTTTCTATGAAAGTCAATGTGAGTGGAGGTGTTATTGTTAACTAAGATAAGATCAGAGTCAAGTAGGGAGTTAAAAAGTCTACTACCGTTCAAGTCGTTGCTGGAGCAGTTCCAGGAGGTATGATGAGAATTAAAGTGGCCAAAAATTAGGCAGGATCCAAGAGAGCATGCAGAAAGGAAAAGTTGGTCCCAATCTGTTCGTGCAACACTGAAGCTAGGAATCCTGTAACACCCTACCAAGACAACTTCTGGAGATGTATCGAGTAATTTAACAGCTCCAATTTCAAGACTGTCAGATATACTGCATAGATTATGTATAACAGTAAATTTAAGAGGTTTCCTTATTAAAAAAATAATACCTCCGCCAGGACGATTATTTCTATCTATTCTAATAGCCTGAAATCCGGGAAGACTAAACTTTTTATCAGCTTGAAGCCAGGTTTCCACTCCTATAAAAACATCGACGTTGGAGAGATGATTCAAAAGTTCATCTTTGCACTTCATCAGGCCTCTGGAATTCCAGAAAACGACTTTGAGATCGTAGAGAGAGGAAAGCTTTTTAGGCTGAACCATAATCTTGAGGAGAGGAAGAATGGAGAGAATCCTTTGGCGAGTCGAAGACAGCGTAGACTGATGGAAATTCCAGATCCGACTCAGTGTCGAAAGAAGTGGAAGAGTCATATTTCGCAGTAGAGTCTTCAGCCCAGTCGAGGAACTGCTCTAGCTTTTTAATAATCCTTGTCGTTCTGTTTTTAATGGATCTAGCGGTGATAGAGGGATATATATCACGGAGCATTTTGACAACTTGAGAAAGATCGGCAGTATATGTTTGAGCCAGTTGAGGAATATTCGAGTTACCTCTGGCCTTCTGTAGAAACTCACGAACTTGAAAATAGTTTAGAACATATGCATCGGGGTGTAATAAGAGATTTTCTTTGACTGGGTGAAGAGCACTGTCTATATCTTCTGACTTATTCGGAGTCGCCGATGGAGCTATCTTCTTCTTTTTTCTTGGAGCAACCAAAGACTTAATCGTTGAAGGGCTTACAAAATTCGAACCAGCACTAGCAAGCTCCACTACAGGAGCAGCAAAGGAAGGAGTACTTGAGTCACGTACAGAAGGATCATTTACTGTAGCCGAAGTACTGGTACTAGTGGAGAGCGGTCTTTTGTTAGAAGTTTTAAAGCAGCTATCGCCAAAATTTTTAGAGCCATCCAAAACAGGAGTAGAAGTATTCACATGGGCGGCTGGCGTTTCTGGAGAAGCCTCTGAAGATACTGCTATGCTCGTATGAGAAGCGCCTATTTGATCGTCACAATTAGACACGTTTGGGCATTGTTTTGCCATGTGGCCTTCCTTTTTGCATTGAAAGCATGTCAGCTTATCTGTTGAGACAAAAATCCAGTAATTTGTGTTATCGAAACTTAATTGAAGATCTTTTGGCAGCTTAGGTTCATCGTCTGGGTGAATGTACACTTGTCGCCGAAAACTCAGAATATATGAGAATCCGGGAGCCGAGAAGCCAGCTTTAACAAACGATATGGGAGACAGCATTCTGATGTCCAGTTTCTTGAAAGAATCATCGATAAGCGCATGAGGAATAACAGGACACACGTTTAGCCTTCGTTAAAAGCGGCCTGACAGAGAGAGAACGACCTTTGATGTTTATATTTAACTTCTCCGCTTTGATTTGTTCAACTAACAGTTTGGACGATAGATAAATACATATACGGTTGTTGGCGATACGAGACGCAAATCTAATACTGCTAGGACTGATGACTTTACCAATTGCAATAATATATTCCTTTATGGAAATGTCTTCAAAGACGTCGAGGACAATAGCTTGGTCCTTAGAAGGAAAGCTCACTTTCTGCATCACACTAGCATAGGTGGATTGAGAGCCACCAGGAACATTACTTGAATCCATGATCACAAGGAGAGGTTCCTGTACTCAGGAATAAACTCTCTTAATAAAAATATGTCTTGTGCGCGTACTATTCTTGGTGAGGCCGAAGCCAAGCGGCGAGAGACAACAAAAATAATACGATGCCGGAGCGGTTGTGTTGATATGTACCACGCGAAACGTCCTATCGCCACGGTTGCTCAGACGAGACTGGTGTACGTAGTTGACTAAGACCTTGAAAAAGTTAAATCAATTTTCCTTTTCTCCAATTGCAACAAATCTGCTAACCTTTCCGTGATGAAATGAGTTTGTGAGCCCCCATCAAGCAACACGCGACACTTATGTTCACGATTGAATTTATCTAGTATTTTGATTTGTGCCGTTCCCAACAAAACTTCTGAATCACAAGTCACGGTTAATGCGGCCTTCGTTGTCTCGAAATTAGTCGAAGTACTCGGCTCATTTTCGGTGGGTCTCGCGGAATTAATTTGAGTTACGCTATTAGGGAAATGCAACAAAGAATTATGTTTCCTGCTATATTTCGGGCAACCCTTCCACATGCACGCGTACGCGTTATGGCCAACCCTTAAACAATTAGTGCACAATTTTGCATTTCGCGCTACTTCTGACCGCTCGCGAACCGCCATTTGCAAAAATCGCGGACACGCGTACACTTCGTGCTGTTCCCTACAAACGGCGCACGCCAGTTTTTTGCTTGTGGCAATGTAATTTTGAGGCCGCCTAACCGGTCTGATTTGTCCACGAGTATCTTGATTTATATTAGAGGAACCTAACTGATTTGCCTCTATCTCCTCACCGCGGGCTTGTTTGTTAATAAAATTAATTAAATCCACGAATTTAGGCATGGTCTCATTTTCTAACGTTCTTTCCCATGCACGGCGGGTAGTCTTGTCTAATTTTTGCACGGTGAGATATACTAACACCGCTTCCCAATGTTCAATGGGTTGTTTTAATACCTTGAGCGCAGTAACATGAACCTGAACTTGATTAGCTAATACTCTTAAATTGGTGGGAGTGTCACGAGTGATCTCTGGGATATCAAACAGCAACCTTAAATGGGCCTGAACGATTTGTCGCGGCTTATTGCACCGTTGCTCTAACAAATCCCAAGCTACGAAATAATTCTCTTCCGAGGCATTCAGAGACGCAATGACTGACGCTATTTCTCCGCGTAAAGAATTCTTTAATAAATGGAACTTTTGCACTGACGGAAGTGCTTCATTGTCATGAATTAAAGTCTTAAATGTGTCACGAAAGCTATTCGGCGATTCTGACATTCTACTAGCAGTTACAGGTCTACTAGGTTCCTTTAATGAATTTATATGTGTCTCTAATAACGCTTGCACCGCATAATATTGCCGCTCGAATTGATCTCGTTCCTGGACGTGATCGGATATTTCATCTTCTATTTCTATCTTATCTTGAACGCTTTCGTACGCATTCCACATTTCTGCTAATCTAGACTTGCGCCCTTCTAATTCGTGTATATTTAATGTCGATGTTTCATTCACGTATGAACTAATTCGGGTTAATTGACCCTTAATAGTGGCTCGTTGCCTTTTTAAATTTTTTAAACTAATCGAGTCCTGCACACTTGCCATATTAAATGATTGGAAATAAACGTCAGAAGGACAATGAGAAAGGAGTGCGATACGTTGTACTCACTCAAAGCGATGACCTGCGTTGCGTATGCAAGTAGTTGGCAGTTCTGCTGAGATCTCGTCTGCTGTCTTGATTCAGCACGGGATGATGGTCCTGTCCGCCGTCGACTGCTGTGTCCGCCCGGAAGGTCACCAGTCTCCCAATAGTTGATTGACAACAGGATGCTTCACTGTTCCGTCGGCTGCTTGCTCCAAACTGTGGAAGTTCGAACGGCTGCGTCGTGGTCCTGCTGCTGTTGATTCTTCTTCAGGCTAACGAACTTCTTAACTCTCTCACTGCGTAGTGATGGTCGGATGTTGGCATCCGGTAATCGTAATATCGGAATGTAATCCGGCTCGAAGGACCAAAATGTTTGTACGCGTAACTAATTGCGCGTTTGCCTTTTTGTACGCATACCTCACACGCCTACTTAAAATTGTGTCAATAGTTAGGGTGCTTACAGAAGCAAAGACGATGTTTGTTCGTTAAGTCTTTATTTGAATACTAGTAGATGACGAGACTCTTGGTGTGTACTCTGAATGAGCGTTGATTGATTTCTGTCTAACGGAGGTATCTTTTCGCGTAATTTATTTATTGATCTTTCCTGGACTGTCACCATACCAGTGATGTTCTTCTTTCTTGTAATCATCTCCTGTTTTTTCAATTTTGAACCTAAACCTCTTGGAGCATTCTTCTTCTTTTGAGCTTCCGCGGTAGCGCTGGTACCCACGCTTGGATTGGAAACCTGTTCACCTTCCATTCTAAATGTTTTAAATTTTATTATCCAAAACCTTAAGAAAGTCGGTGTTTAGTAAGTACCACTGGCACTTTTTCCAGCTACCTGCGTTGGACACAAATGTTCGGTGTTATAGAATATCCCGTCCTTAAAAAGAATACGCTTCGCGACAGACCTTAAAGAGCTTACAAACACTTTAATTTTAATTTAATATTTAGTAATTAAATATAATTACAATTTTGTTTAGTATTTATTTTTATTGCGTAATAGTGCGTGGAATACGTAAGTCTTTACGCCGAAAAATACCCCGATAGGCAAGTACCGGACAGGAGGACATTCACAAGAACATACCAGCGTTTACGAGATACGGGATCGGTCCTGACCAATCTAATTGATGGGCGAGATCAACAGCCCCAACAATTGGAAGAATGAATACTTCGAAGGATTGAAGAAGATCCCAGAACCAGCACGCGAAGAATTGCAGCAGCCGAGCAAGTCAGTAATTCGACTGTTTGGCAGATATTGAAGCAGAGGCAACTGCACCCGTACCATTTTCAACGGGTACAACAAATAGAAGATGGTGATTTTGCAGAACGGAAAGATTTTTGCACATGGATATTAGCCATGATTGGAGATAACGAAGATTTTATCTCAAACATATTGTTTACCGACGAGGCAACATTCAATCGCCACGGTACAGTAAACACACACAATGCCCATATTTGGGCAGAAAAAAATCCACACGCGGTTTACGAAATAAATACTCAACGCCAATTTTCTGCCAATATTTAGGCAAGAATACTTGGCAATAAAATTATTGGTCCTGTGGTCTTCCCACAGCGTTTAACAGGACAATTGTACCTGGAATTTTTGGAAACGCAGTTGCCAAACCTTCTGGAGGATGAAGCGCTACATGTACGCAGAAAAATGTGGTATATGCACGACGGTGCACCGACCCATAACACATTGACAGTACGCGGGCATTTAAACGCGTACTTTGGAAGCAAGTGGATTGGATGAGGAGGACCTAAGCTGTGACCTGCTCGTTCACCTGATTTCAACCCCATTGATTTTTTCTATTGGGGCCACTTGAAGGATTTAGTTTACTCAACGCCAGTATACTCGCTCAAGGAACTCAAATACTGAATTACGTCGTCAGCGGGTATTATTGAGTCAAGAGAAGCAGCCAATTTGGAAAATGTGCGACGAAATTTGCAGAGAAGAATGCAGCTGTGCCTACAAGAGAATGGTGGCCACGTGGAACAACTACTGTCAGGCAAGGCTGTTTTATCTGAGCATGTGGACACTCGCGTGTGGGTGACTTTTGTGCATAAAAAAATATATGTGTTCAAAGAGGCATTTGCCCTCTCTCTGTGAACACCATGTCGGGTGAGTTTTGATATGCCCCTCTGGATGTTCGTAAGACAGGTTGAATCCCATTCGACGATATGCGTTTGCCTTCCTGGGAGTTGACGCAGAAACGAAAGGCGATGGATAAGTCGGTAAGCTCGGTTCCTGTAACACACCGCCTCCTGACCTACTGCACTTACACATCTGTTCGCAAGTTGCCACGTTTCAGGCGGAACTTTAAACCTTAATAATTTTACAACGAAGCCTCCATCAACTAATTGGTATTCTTGATTTTCGACTTATTTTGGCCTGTAGTATCGCTCATTTCAATTTTTCCTAGGGGTGGCCGAACGCCCTGTGTAGAATAATAGTACAGTGTAAGTTACTCATTATGAATATTATCTATTGGAATTGGGGGAAAAAGCAGTACACTTTGTAAGTAAAAATGAAACTTTATTCTGTGGTCTGGAAGGACGTCTTTACTCTGTTAAAACTGAACAAGAAGTGAAGCGTCGCTCAGATCCCCTAAAAGAAAATCTGGCGTCCACATAAAAAGGAAAGAAACCATTGCCTGCATCATGTTTGTTTCCCTGGCCCTCGACGACAAAACAGACCCAGGCCCCTAGGCCCGATGGTGCCAATACGGTCTTCATATGCAGACAATGGACAGTGTTTCTCACTGTTAGATTCAGTTTTGTAATGATTATTTATTAATAATCCAACATTATCCATATTTAAAATGCCAGGAAACGTTCGCGAAACTATATCTGCTTGCTGTGCACTGTCGGCAAAGCTGCAAGTTAGCTGTGTATGACTATCTCTAGATAGCGAAATTTCTGAGTGTAGGGAAGAGGTGGAGGGTGATTGATATCTGCTTTCATTGTCGTAATATGAATTCGGTGTATCATATTTTCCCAAAGCTGCATCGAATAATATATTATTGATAAAATGTTTTGCAACTATTTGTGCTTTCGGCGTGAATTTTCGTAGTTCATTTTCTACATATTCTCCATATGTTGCACAATCATCCCTTTGAACAGCACGTTTTAAAATAACGTACGCTTCTTCTTCGCAACTAGAGGGCGATACAAAGCATTCCTGTTTCTTTTTACTTTTTTAAAATGTTTTCTTTTTTTCATCGTCATTATGTACTTTGTTCCCATTAAAGTGTGATTCATTAAGTGTTCTATTTGTAATTAAATTATCTTCTACCTGCAAAAAAAGTTATTAAATTTTTCCAAATGCCGTGTACTGAAGACGAGTGGAGGAAGGTAGCTAAGGAGTTTGAAAACTCCTGGAATTATCCACACTGTATTGAAGCTTGTGACGGAAAACACATTGTAATTCAAAGCCCAAAAAACAGTGGCAGCATGTTTTTTAATTACAAAGGAACATTCAGCATTGTCCTGTACATCTGTACCATCAGTACTTCAATTAAACTATAGTTAACTGTTAATCTACTGCGTTGCACCAAGACCGATCGTCATCCTGCGTCGCAACACCTTGCAAGTTCATATTATGAAACCTTTTTCTGGTTATCAGGAAAAAAGCTCTTCGAAAAGAATATACAATTATAGACATTCTCTTGCTCGTAGAGTAGTGGAAAACGCTTTTGGCTTATTAGCATCAGTGTTTCGTGTGTTCAGAAAACCACTTATGTTAAATGTGGAAATGCTGAGATAATTACAAGAACGTGCATTTATCTCAAACAATTTTTTAAGAAGAAGCTCGACATCCAGATCTTAATATTCACCTCCAGGAAGTTTTGATATAGACACGCAAGATGGACACGTCATTCCAGGATCATGGAAATCAGTAGTTCATGGCGATACTACTGAAAGGTATGCCGTTTATTGACGAATGTGTCCCTCGACACGCCGGTCCGTATTGTGGGATTGGGAGGTTTGACGGAAACAAGCGAATATGTGTAGGAGATGAGCGTTCTGAGCGTTCTTCATTGTATCGTATCGATCGCAGGGAATGACTGAGTGAACTGAATGTGTCGATTCTGAGTGAATGGTTGAATGTATGAGTGCAATGACCTTAGAGACGGAATGTTTGGTAACGTTAGGAATATTCGAGAAGTAATACCGGATGAGGAACTATGGAAAATGTCAAGAACGTTCTGGAATGATTGAACTACATGAATGTGTCGACTCTAAATGATTGCATGATTGAATGTATGAGTGCATGGACTATGGTAACGCGATATTGATACGAAACGACGAGAACGTTCTCGAAACATGACCGGACGTGAAACCGGCAAGTGTTCGGGAGCTGGAGGATAAAAGCGCGAGTCCGGGAAAGAGTGGGGCTTTTTTGAGAGTGAACGTCGATCACGAAGATTACGCTACGAACGTCCATTACGTTACATGTTACGTTGTGTTTCTCTTATAATCAATTTATACGTTGATACGTTGTGCTTCGATTATAATTAATACGTTGGTACGTTGTGTTCCGATTATAACTAATTTATACGTTGATACGTTGTGTTTCAATTATAATTAATTTATACGTTGATTGTGTTTCTTTCCAATTCGCGCATGTGAATTACAAAAAAGGCAGATTCTACACTTCTGATCCTACATATGTAATCGTAATTTATTGATGAATGACAAAGTATTTCCAGGTTACTCTACGATATACACGCTACGCTGCTCTTTACAGTACTCTTCCTCGCTCGGTTTCCTGATCTACACTGCCCGTTCTTCCCTTCGGACACCCTCAACCCCAGTCGCTTTCCCACTCTCTCCCTCTCTCACTCTCATACTGCAACGCTAACGGTACGAAAGCAGCCGGGTACGGTTTCGCAAGGCCATCCCGGGCCCAAAGAGGCCCGGTCGTAAACCGCTAGCGACCGCTTGCACGTCACACCCCACACTCGGCCATCCTGCAGGGATATCTGGCCTCAGATATCGCATGGTCTATCGCGAGTTTCCTCGGTGTCACTGCACATGTCATCACTGTCCTCACTTATCCATGGTTTGATATGATCCACTGCTGTGGAGGTTTGACGCGGCCCTTCATGGTCGCCGATTTTCGTGACTACATAGCGATCGTTTCGTAGCACCGTCGTCACTTCATAAGGTCCGAAATATTTTGCAGCGAATTTCAAACCCGGGTCCTGCTGTGTTCGTCTAATAGCAACGCGATCGCCCTCTCGGTACTTCCTACTTTCAATCCTCCTTTTATTAAAAGACTTTCTGTTTTCTTGTTGAATCTTGAGGATGTTTTGTCGTGCCTCCTCTCGCAATTCGTCGCGATTCTGCTCAAATAAATTTTCCCATTCGCGTTCAAGTGATCCCATTACCTGAGGGTCGTCCCGAAATTTAGCCTCTACGCCGAACAATATTTTAAACGGTGTCGTTTTAGTACTTCGACTTGGAATGGTGTTAAAACATTTTTGGCATCTGTCTAGGTATTTGTGCCATTCCCCAGGTTTCGGCGCTGACAATTTAGTCAATAATGCTATTAGCGTACGGTTCACCCTCTCTACCTGACCGTTCGCTCGCGGTATACCTGAAGTAGTCAGTACATGGTCTATGCACTCGTCCTTACAATAATTTTCGAATGCTGCCGACGTAAACGCGGTACCCCTATCCGAAATAATCCGGCGCGGATTTCCGAAAAGTACGGATTGCTTTGTTAGATGTGCTATCACTTCGGCGGAATTACAACTTTTCGTGGCGTAAAGCCACACGAACTTTGAAAACGCGTCTATAATGACAAGAATATAAGTGTATCGCTTTTTTGTTGACGGGAGCGGACCCAGATGGTCGATGTAAAAGGTGTCTAGCGGTACTTCGCCCTTGTCTATTGCGAATAAAAATCCCTCCGGTCTACCCCGTTTTTTCTCCGCTAGAATGCAGTCTACACAGTTTCGCACCACTTCATCCACCTTTTCACGCATATTCTGAAACCAATAGTCCCGTTTCAGCACGGCCTCAGTTTTCTCCGCAGCGAAGTGTCCGTTCTCGTGGGCACGCCTGATTACCTGCGTCCGCATTGACTTTGGTACCACAAGGCGTATATCACCCTCCATTTCCTTAAACACAATGCCACCCCTAACCATGTAGCCTTCGGCTCGTCCCGACTCTGCCAATTCAAATGTTTTCTGGATACCTGGGTCCTCTCGCTGCGCTTTCCTTAGCCTACCGCTTATACTATTTACAGTTTCGCCTACCAGCATGCACGATGGTAGCGGGTTACGGCTCAGGGCGTCTACATGTACCAGATTTTTACCTGGGCGATGCTCGATAGTGTACTCAAATTCCTCTAACAATAGCGCCCATCGCGCGACACGAACACACAAGTCCTTCTTCCGCATCGTTAATGCGAATGCTCGGCAGTCCGTCACAATCCTGAAAGGTATGCCTAATAAATACACACGGAATTTCTTTAGAGACTTAATTATCGCTAACACCTCTAATTCGTAGCTTGAATAGCGCTCCTCCGCTGGCGTTGTTTTGCCACTCGCGAAATATATCGGATGTAGCCCGTTATCGCAATCGTCTTTTTGGAGCAATATTGCACCATACCCGAATTTGGACACGTCCGTGTGCAGTTCCGTCTCTGCACCGACCCGGTACAATTTAAGGACGGGCTTACTCGCTAGGGCGATTTTTAATTGTTCGAACGCCTGTTCCTGTTCTATGCCGAATTGAAACTTTACTTCTGCTTTTAGTAAGTTTGAAAGGGGCCGCGCCGTTAATGAATAATGCGGTATAAATTTTCTGAAATAACCGGTGAGCCCTAAAAAGCTCTGTACTTGTTTGAAACTTTTCGGTTTAGGGAATCGTGCCACCGCTTCGGTCTTATGCTCCGAAGGACGAATCGTACCGTCTTTTACTATGTGCCCTAAATATTCTACCTGGGGCTGTAAGAATCTGCATTTGTCCCAGTTGATAGTTAGCCCGGCTTCGCTCGCTACTTTCAATACAAATTTTAAATTATCCAATCCACTCTTATAATCCATTGAAGGAATTATTATATCGTCTATATAAATTAAAACTATTTTCTTCGCTATCAATTCTCTGAATACCGAATTTATGAACCTCTGGAACACCGATGGCGAGTTACATAGGCCGAATGGGACTTTCAGAAACTCTTACTGCCCGTCGGGAACAATGAAAGATGTATACTTCCGACTATTCTTATCTAAATCTACATGGAAAAACCCATTTTTGAGGTCGAGCGTGCTATACATTTTCGCGCCTTGCAACAGATCCAATTGATCCTCAATAAGGGGAAGCGGATACCGATCTTTAACGACTTTTCTATTCAGCAATCGGTAGTCTACGCAGAGTCTCGATGACCCGTCTTTCTTCTTAACCAACACTACTGGGCTGGCATATTCTGAAAGGGAATGTTGGACGATCCCATCGCGTAACCACTCCTCTACCTGCGCGTTTACCGTATCCCTTTCCGACGGAGATAATCTCCTTGCGCGTTGAAATACCGGTTCGTCGTCTTTTAATATTATTGTCATTTTTAACTCGGACTCGCGCGTCGCCATGGGTTTATAATCATCAATCATCTGTGCTAAAATTTTCCTAGTGGGCGTGTCTTCAATATATGAGATGCATACTTCATTTACTTCGTGCTCTACATTAATTTCGGAGATGTGAGGAATTTCAGTCTGTTCTAATTTACTATAATAATTTGTCCCCGCTTAATAATTAATTCGGTCAGGTCTAAAAAATCTGTACCTATCAGTAGCCCGTGAGCCATTAACCCGTTTGGTATCACGCGGACCATCATAGGGAAAAGGTCCCCGTCTATCCGCGCTTCCGTCCTAAACTCTCCGATTGCTTTATTCGTGCCCGAACCGATGCATAGTGGGGTATTTGCCCGATCAAGCTGGCCAAAAGTCAGTTTAGTCAAACTCGTTGCAGGCAAAAATAACTTTTTACCTGAAAAAGGTAAGTACCTGGGATGTCATAAACTGCAATTTTGTCGCCTTCACGCTAGCAGTCGTAACATTTGATCAGTTTGAACTTGAGCGTGTCGAACAGCGAACGTGTGTTTCCTTGTTACTTTCTACGGCATTAGAGTTTCAAAGTTATTATTCTTTTTTTTTTTAAATATTTATAAGCAATAAATTATGGATTCTTCTGAAGCAGGTAAGTGTGTATAAATATCAAGCATTTTAATTAAAACTTCGTTTATTTTCATATACTTAAAGAGTGTTGAATAAAAGGAATTTTTTACTCAATTTTAGAGACACTATTATCATAACTCGAAGGGTTTTGTCATACTTCAGGGTGCGTCCCGACTTTCATTTTTCTTTAACATTCAAGGGAAAGGCTTTAACATTATATTCGAAAAAGAAATTTCCGCGGAATCGCGTGAATCTTCTTGTAATCATTAGAAATATAATAAACAGTCATACGTGATATATTTTCACTATGGATTACTTTTACTTTAAAAATTATAATTTTGTGTTTAGGTTCATCTGGAGTTAAAGTAATGACCCGGAGAGATATTTTTAATATAATGCAAAAACAAAAAGACTGCAATATCAATGATAAATTGAAATTCATTGAAAATTACATTCTGAGCCGCGAAGAATATTCAGAAAATGAAAGAAAGGGAATTAAACATAAATTTTCGTACGTGAAATCGGAAATGAAACACAGATGGGCAGCGGCACATAAAAAAGAAGAAATTTTTCTTCAAAAGAA